ACACACAACACACAGTCGAACACACACACAACAGATTGCTCCTCTGCCATGTCTCTCTCTCTCTGCCATGGCTCCTTTGCTGTCGCCTAGGTACCTCCTCCCTCTTTCTCTTTCTCTCTCCACTGCCACCCTTTCTGTCACACGCACACACATACAATCGCACACACACAGAAACACAATCACGCACACATAGAGACGTAATCGCACATACACACGCACCCACTATCACACACGTCACACACATATAACGCACACATCGCACATACACACAACAACAGACACACACACATACACACAGCAGCACACACGCACAAATACACACTACAGCACACACAACGCAAATTGGATTGATAATTTGGGGGGTTTTGTAGCTTTTATATGATTTTTATTTTCATATTGGGTATTAATTTGGGTGTTTTGAATGTCATATTTTCAAATAATTTTGAGAAGTTTTGTAAGAATAAGATTTTCAAATTAGGTTTTTTCATAGGATTGTAAGTTTGTATTGAATGTTATAGTTGTTTGTCGTATTTTAATAAAATGTTAATAGTTATTAGTGATATTTGATCAAATTTTATGGTTTTGAAATTGAATGTTAAGATTTTCAAATTGAAAATTTTCATGGATTAGGGTTTGTGCAATTATAAATTGGGTTTTTTTATGAAAGATGTTTATAGGGTTTTGATTGAATGTAATTTAGGGTTATTATATGCAATTTATCTTTGAGCTTTTACTGGCATCCTAACTTTGGTAATGTTACTGTTTTGAATTTTGGTTAACAATTTAGATATTCATTGATTAATGTTTAGACATTTAGATATCTCATTTACAGTAGTAACACTGTTAATTTTTAAGTTTTGCATGTTTTTCATGTAATGATAATTGTTTTATCTTAAACTGAATTGAATAGAGAATGACCAAGTATTTTATGTACCAATGCTGTTAATTGTTTTCATGTATTTGGAAGATGACTAAATTGAATGTTTTTCATTTTTCATGTACTAACATTGTTAATTGTTTTCATGTTCTTCGTGTTGTGCACTGTTAATTTTTTATGTTTGTTGAAATTCCTGAGAACTAGGTAATGCCCTGAGTGGTAATTTTTTTTAGCTGTGTGAATGACTGTTTTTTTATTTGTGCTCTTTTAAATTTATGGTTCTTTCATAATTACATGTTTGTCTCTTCAATACTGAGATTCAGTCTGGGGTTATGCAACTACTCTACTTTGGTGCTTTGAAGTAAGATTTTTGGCTTAATCTATTGAGTATTTTATTTGCATTGGTGATATACATCTTATTTGTGGTTTTGAATATGAATTTTAGTTTAATTTTTATGTGGATTGTGAATTTTAGTTTAATGAGTAGCCTTAATGAAATTGATAGATTTAGGTGATGTGCATTTAAGTCAAGAACCCATTTCAATAATCTAATTGTGTTTAAATTGAATACTAAGGGAATATGTCAAATTCCTTTTGTTCTTTGATTCCATATGGGTGAGTATTGAAGAGTTTGAATATTTAAGGGATTGAACTATTATGAGTGTTTTTGTAGTTGCGAAAATAAGAGTAGATAACTTGTTATTCTTTTTCTATGTTTAGGATCTTTCTATTGAGAACTCAATTGCTTTTAAAGGGTACAATACTCAGGATGAGATTCTTGGAAATAAAATAAAGGTATGTGTTGGTTTCCTTTTCAATTTTCCTCCTTTTTTTTTTTCACAAAGCTAGCTAATTTTGCATAGTTGCAGTTGTTAGTTGGTTGTGATTGTGAATTAACATGTAGTGTTATGTTTTTTGGGATCCTTGACTACATGGGAATGTTTGTGCTAAGAGAGTTACTTGGGATTATGGAATGTGTTATTTTTTAACTGGGATATTTTGAACCTATAGTTTACCTTTTATGCAAATAGGTTGAAAATAGTTATTATTTGGGTTAAATTGTTTGAATTTTTCTTGGATTACTTGGGTTGATCGATGGAGTTTGAACTTATTTGTGCTAAGTTTGTCTTTTAATTTGTTTTGTAGCTCCGTGTTCGCACCCTTAATTTGGGAGATGATTCATAAATTTAGGGATGCTGATCTATAATAATAAGATAGAAGCAATTTTGAATCCATTTTTACTTCAAAATTATTCCACTTTTAATTCAATTGGGAAAGCACAAGGACGACTTAGTTGATGAGAATTGGGGTTACGTGGCTGTGTAGAGAGCTGAGTCAAAGGGTTCTTGCTTGACTCTTCCTTTGAACTCTCACTTTCTTTACTGGTAGAATTACCGTCATCACCCTTATACCCAGTATTGCCTTCTAACCTTAGTTGAACTTCAAGAATTTCAAATACTTCTTCATTGATCACATTAAACCTTGAATCATTTATTGAAAAACTTGACTTAACATGTGAATACAGAATCTATTGATTTTGTTGTTTGCGACCTTTAAAATAACTTAATACTGAAATTGGATAACTCTTCATTTGCCAAATCTTAATGTGGAGTTGTTCTAGGTGATGTTATACTTTGGCTAAAATTATTTAATTAATTATATATTTGATCTTGCAATGTTGAGAGTGTGCAAAATGCTATGGGACCAGAGCGGAACTGGAGTTTAAACTGCCATCTTATATGTCTATTTTTTTTTCATCTCATTTTGTTAGGATGCAATAAATGTTATTTTGGTTTGGATTTGTGTAGTGACTAAAATATGATGTTGTCTTTGAGATTGATTTATCCTTGAGATTGATTACGCAATTGTTTGTTTTGGACAGTGATGCAATTGGTGTCACTTTAGACAAATTGAGAATTTTGCCACAATTTTTTTAAAAAATAGCATGGGTTAAATTAATTTTAATTACTTTAATTAAAAAAAATGAAGAAAAAATTATTTCAAATTGAATGTTTTTTTAAGATGCAAAGTGCATTTAGGCATGGGTTATTACTAAAATATGATGTTGAAGTCCTTCATCCCAATCATACAATTGAAGTCCAAAGAAGATAAATGTGTTGTGTGTGACAATTTGCATCTATTTTGTTTGTTCCATGTTTAGTATGGTGACTTAATTATACACGATTATGAGGATATGTTTAATTTGATGTGTATTTATGGTTATTTTGGTGGTTGGGTATGGAATGTTGATTTTGAGAGAAATGGAATTGAATCGTATTGGTATGGGGCATTATGATAATTGTTATGTATAATTATGAGTTTTGTAGACAAGTTGATATTTTTTTTAGCTTCTATTTTAAGAAAAAATTTTGTCGAAAGTTTACGAAATTGTGGAGATTATATTGATTTTAGTTTTTTTTAATTAATAAAAATGAAGTAAAGATTATTACAAATTAACAATTTGGTTTAGGTTTTTAAGTGCCTCTAGGCAATGTAGTATTTGTGAAATTTTAATTTAATTTTTTGTTATCCCATGCCTTTAGGCACGGACAATTATTAGTGTATATATATATATATCCTAACCTATATATGAATATGGATAGATATGAGAGAGAAAATTTTTTAATGTTAATCCAACTCCTACAATTTAGGAGTTTTTAATTTTTAGTTTTACATCACTTCTAAAGGAAAGGAATAATCTGGTAAATTGACAAAAAATGGACTTTATAACAAATAAGTTTCTTTAGCGGACTTAAGTCCAAATAAATTCATATAGAGGGATCAGCCTCCAAATTTCTCTTGGTTATTTTAGACTTAGGGTCCGTCTTAGATAAATTGTTTTGTTTTTGATTTTTTGGTTTTTGTTTTCAGTTTTTGCCAAAAAAAAAAAAAAACAACAACAACATGTTTGGGTTGTATTTTTATTTTTTTTTCGAGCTAATTTGTTTTGAAAATAAGGTCAAAATTTGTAAACATAAAAATATATTTTGAAAAGAGTAATGCTAGATGGACTTAAAAATTAAACTTGATAATTCTAATCATTGAATAGGTAATAGATCCCAATAAATGTTGAAACCCACAGTGAAATCAATAGTTGTTAATGATGCACAAATTGATTTTATGCACCTGTCAAGTGACTGATAATTAATATAGTAATTAAGAAGTAAGAGAGCAACACAAGCAAGACAAGGATGTAGAGTAGTTCAATCAACGTGACGTACGTCCACTATTTGGGCTAGGATGACTTGAGTATTTTATTACTTCGAGGAGTATGGGGAAAGCAAAGAGATACAATCAATGAGAGAGAGATGAAAGTGACAGTAAATGTGTTTGATTGTGTGTGATGTCCCCTAAGTATTGGCGGGACTTACAATTTATAGTCGTCTCCTAACAAATTGAGGCAGCTTACCAGTAACTAAAAGGCTAATTTGGTGGAGGTTACATCATCTTCACAACGGATGAGGCAGTTGCGGAGCTATCCTCAAGACCAGGTCTTAAGATGACATAGTTGACTTCTTCGCTCCTTACTCCAAGGTGGCTTGGATGAGGCTCTTGAGATGGCGTTTACTCCAAGGTGGTTTGGATGAGACTTTTGGAATGATGCTTACTCTAAGATGACTTGGATGAGACTCTTAGGATGGAGCTTACTCCAAGGTAGCTTGGATGAGGCTCTTGGGATGATGCTTACTCTAAGATAGCTTGATGAGACTCTTGGGATGGCGTTGCCTACTCCTTAATGACAGGGCTCTTGGAGCCTGACTAGGCATGAATCTCTTTTGGGCTTGACACATTGGGTTTTATCTAGTGGATCCTTTATTAAAGTTGGGCCCACACACCTGAGTTGGGTCTTGGGCCGGGCCCATCATTTTTCCCCCAATGCCCGAGTCTAATAAAACTTGGAGAAGAGAGCATTTAGCTGAATTTGGACTCTGGCGGACGAAGTCTCCTTTTGATTGATAACCCATTTTCCTTGTTGATAAGGTTCTTTCCCTAAGACATTCCTTGCCATGAGCTAGGTGACTAGAGACCGCTGTCAGATGAAGGAGGAGAGATGCAAGAAGTCATTAACATAGGAGAGGAGGTAGCCAACGGCGGAGCAATAGGTGTCGAAGTTGGCGCATAGGCTAGCGTTGGCGAGGCAGCGGGTGCTGGGGAGTCCAGGTGCTACATGGACGTCGAGGGCAACAAGAGGATCCAGGTGGGCTTCGGTGGTGAGGTGCCAAAGGCACGGCCAGGCCTCAACGATGGGCAAAGATGCCATGGGCGAGGCGTCATGGGCATCGCTGAGGGTAAGGCGAGGAAGGCGCCACTTGGTGTGGTGCCGTTGTGCAAGGCTCCGTTTGGAGAGGCGCCGTATGAAAGGGCACCATAGGTGCTATCGGTTGAGCAAGGTGATCGGAGAACGTTAAGGCAGGCACGCTTGGGCGCCGGATGCAGAGAGGTGCAAACTTGGGGCACCATAGGAGTTGAGGCTTGGAGGTAGACTAACCAGGTTGAAGTCATCGAAGCTGAAGGGGAGAACGTGGCTGAGGGCGATCGTGCAAGGGGAGTGGCGCTATGGGCGTTGCTGGCTAGCGACTTTGTTGATGGCGATGGAGGAGTGCTGTTTGGGGACAAGCACAGGTAGGGCTTGTTTGCGGTAGGTGTTAAGTGCGGGAGTGCTACGACAATGAGTCGGTGGTGCCGGATGGACACGAAAAGGATGAGGACCGATTGTTGACATTCAATCTAATGTAGTCTTGCAGGTTGCAGATGGCCTAAGTTTCAAAAGCGTGTCTAGAGATGGCAAAATTAATGTTGTTCCAACATCAAAATATCTAACATGATTACCTGGAGAGAAAATCAAACTGCTTGCGTGAGAGCAAAGACAGAGTTTGAGGATTGCTCGTGAAAGAGTTAAACCTTTTTAGATCGAGCTTTTTGAAACTCATGAAAGAGTCGCTAAACTGGAGGTAGACTAACTATGAGGCTGCCCACATGAGAACAGAGGTTTTGAAGGTTGATCGTGAGAGAGCTGCTCCTTTTGAGATCCAATTTTTGGTGACCCATGAGAGAGAGGTTAAGCTAGAGCTATAGGCTGCATGTTTTAGAGCAAAATAGAGGCCAAAATTTTGGTGACCTACAAAAAAACAGCTTAGTTGGAGATATAGGCTACTTGCTGGAGAGTAGAGCAGAGATAGACCAAGCTTTTGACGACTCACGAGAGAGTCGCTCAACTGGAGATATAGGTTGTCTGCTTGAGAGTAGAGCAGAGGCCAAACTTTTGATGACCCGTGAGAGAGCTGCTCAGTTGGAGATATAAGCTGCTTTCTTTAGAGCAGAGCAGAGATAGACCAAGCTTGTCGCGACCCACGAGAGAGCCGCTCAGTTGGGGATATAGGTTGTCTGCTTGAGAGCAATACAAAAATAGAACAACCTTTTGGTGACCCACAAGAGAACCGATTAGCTAGAGATATAGGCTGTCTTCTTGAGAGTAGAACAGAGCAGAGATAGGTCAAGCTTGTGGTGACCTGTGAGATGATTTAGCTCGCCTGGACCTGTTGATGTCATTAACTTTCATATATTTTTGAGCTTTTGACAATAGTTCTGACATGTTCTTTGGTGGTAACTTCATTACTGAAAAGAGGAAACTCGATGAGTGGAGGCCTTCCAAAAAGGCGGTCATGATGACTTTGTCATTGGACTCCTCGATTTGGAGGACCTCCTCGTTAAAACAAGTGAGGTAACTCCTCAGACTCTTGTCTAGATCTTGTTTTACACTGAGCAAATGGGTGGCAAGCTTTTGGTGGTGGCGTCCACTAATGAATGCCACAAAGGATCTACTTAGTTCAGCGAAGGAGCCTATGGAGGCCAGGGTGAGCTTGGCTAACCACCGTCGGGCAAATCCCTTTAGGGTAGTTGGGAATGCTCTATACATGATTTCATCAGGAATATTGTGCAGCTTTATAAGTGTCGAGGTCATCCAGTGGGTCTTTTGTGCCATCAACCACTTCCACTGATGGCATTTTGAATTTTTGAGAAAGTGGGTAATTTGCCAGATTGACTACAAAAGGCGTGTCAGTGCGCCTTACGAGGTACTCAATAGTTTCTGGTCCTTGCGCCTTCATGGTGTTGAAGATGTCGCCCAGTTGATTCTATAGTTATTTGATTTTCTCATCCCAATGATTGGAGACTCCTTTGGATAGGTAATGAAAGTGGCTCTCATGTTCCACACATTGATTTTCTCCCTCATCCTTTTGGAAAGGAGGGTCTCCAGCATGGGAAGTGGGAGCTGGAGAAGGAGGAGGAGTTGCTCCATGGAGTTGAGGAGGGGTTCCCCTAAAGGGGGCGCCCAAGTGGGGAGCTCCTTGACGCCCAAGGTGTGGAGCTTCTCTGGCCTGATGTCCTCCAGGCTACACACCTCCTTGTTGTTCAGCAAGCATCAATTGCAGGATCTATTATTTCTGAGTTACGCACTATTGCATTGTTTCCAACATCCGATGTGTATTCAAAATAGGATTAGTTGGTGGAGAGGCAACATTCTCCTCTTGTGGTGGATTGTCTTCGGGCAGATCTATGGATCTGCTGGTGATCACCATAGGTATAACAAGAAAAGTGATTAGGTTTTATGCCACAAACGACGCTAAACTGATGATGCACAAATTGATTTTATGCACCACCTGTCAAGTGACTGATAATTAATGCAGTAATTAAGAAGTACGAGAACAACACAAACATGACTAAGATGTAGAGTGGTTCAGTTAATGTGACCTACGTCCACTATAAAGGGCTAGGATGGTTTGAGTATTTTATTACTTCGAGAAGTGTAGGGAAATACAAGTGATGAGAGAGAGATGAGAGCAATAACAAATGTGCTTGATTGCGTGTGATGCCTCCCAAGTATTGGCGGGGCTTACAATTTATAATCGTCTCCTAACAGATTAAAGCGGTTTATCAATAATTAAAAGGCTAATTTGGTGGAGGTGGCATCATCTTCGTAATGGATGAGGCAGTTGCGGAGCTCAAGACCAGGTTTTAGGATGACGTGGTTGTCTTCTTCGCTCCTTACTCCAAGGTGGCTTGGATGAGGCTTTTGGGATGAATTTTACTCCAAGGTAGCTTGGATGAAGCTCTTGGGATGACGCTTACTCTAAGGTGATTTGGATGAGGCTCTTGGGATGGTGCTTACTCCAAGGTGACTTGAATAAAGCTCTTGAGATGACGCTTACTCTAAGGTAGCTTGGTTGAGGCTCTTGGGATAACGCTGCCTACTTCTTGATGACCGGGCCCTCAGAGCCTTGATGAGTCTGATTGGGCGTAAATCTCTTTTGGGTGGACCTATTGAATTTTGTCTAATGGATCCTTTATTCAAGTTGGGCCCACAACCTGAGTTGAGTCTTGGGCCTAGTCCATCAATTGTAATTATTAAATCTAGTTTTTAAGTTTATTTTTAAAATTTATGTAGCATTGCTTTTTTAAAAAATATAAAAAATCTATAAAAAGCCACATCATTTTTTTCAATAATAAAAAACGCAAACATTAAAAAAAATAAGAATGACGTTTTGAACAACATCTTCAGCTCTATATATTTAAAAAATAATATATACGGATAACTTGTATCTAACGCTAACCCTCGACATTCTAAAAAAAAAAGTTATACTCAAGTAAGGGTATCTACGAAGCCAACAAAAAAAGTTGTGCTAAATTAAGGGTGTCTACCGAGCTATGTCGTGCTACTCCTATGAGATTATGTAAACAAAATTATAAATTCTAATTTTTTACTTATAAAATTTTCCAATCGTGTTGTTCATTTTTAACTTTAATTTAATTCATTTAATTATTATAAAACTTGGTCAAAAGTCCATCAAAGTTCTCTTTTAATCCATTAAATGCAAGCAAGGTAAGTAGAGAGGATTGTCATTTTCTGGGAAACGTGACTGTTTTTGTAGTCATCAACTTAATTAAGGATATTTTTGTCGAACGTTTATTTTATAAATTTTTTGTCTTAAAAGTGTTCTAAGCTGAACCTAAAACTCCACAAGCCATTGAATGTGGACTTCTTGGCATGTTTTCCTAAAATAAAACTTGAATATGTGTGTGTGAGAGAAAGAGAGAGTGAGCGTGTCTGACATGATATCACTAATTAATAATAAAATTTCAAATAGATAAGGTGAACCCCAATACATAGAGGAAGAGTGAAGAGTTATTTGCGTACAAGACAAATTGATTATTAATTTTTGTGAGGTTCCTTTAGTTATTTGTTGCTAGCCAAATTGTATAAAAAGCATCGAGGACGAGTAAATTTGGTTTAGATATTCTATTTGAACGAGGCTTTTAGCTATTTTCTACACTAGGTTATTTGTGGTGCATGACATGTGAGTAAGATTATAATTTAAATGTGTAACCAAAATATAATTAAAAATTTGAATGTCACATGTTTAAATTACGGAATAATTTCTATGTATATAGGAATAAAAATATGTATATCTGATCCTTTTTATATCGCCCAACATGGAAAATATCCTACACTAAATTGTCCTTATTCGTTTGAATTATTCTCCTCTACGGGGGAAATCAAGGCTCTACCTTCGATTTTTCAAGAAGAAAAAGGCTCTGCAAATGACTCTGCAACTGGTTGTTATCTATTTATAGGATTTGACTTTGGTGTTGAAGGAGATATGTACCGAAATATATATTATATACTAGCAATAATAATATAAGAATTAGATGTTCTAAGAGTTAACAAAATTCCCATCTTTATTTATATTGGTTGTTACGTACACATCCAAGTTGAATTTCAATTCACTAAACTAACATTCAATTGCATCACACAAACAATAATTTCATCAAGTTAACAACAAATAAAAATTTAATTTCATCAAATTAATATTTCAAAATTGAATTTCACCAAATTAAAGTCAATTAATATTCGATTTATTTAATTCACAATTTAGTTTCATCAAATTAACATCAAATTGAACTTCAATTTCATCAAATTAACACCTATTTTTATCAATTTAATATCAATTCATTCAATCTCATCCCACTAACATTGGTTTTTTTTTTTCAATTTACCATTCAATTTTATCAATTGTACATTTGATTTCAAAAGATTAACATTAATTTTATCAATTTAATACCAAATTGATAGTCAATGGGTGAAATTTACGTTACAGTAAGCCGCGGTAAAGGATACAATTTTTCCTAGCTTACAAATTGGATGAACGTGGTTGTGTGTGAAAATTAGTGCTTGAGGCATGAAGAAAATGAAATTGTAGGACATGATCATTGTATGGTTTTAATTTGTCATTTATGAAAAAATATTGGCTGACATCATCACCTTTTGAATGTGTTAGTAATGTCTCTAATGACAAGGGTAGTATGTGGATGGAC